GAATGAATAAGCAAAAATATTACAATAAACCCGTACAGCAGATAAAGGTTTATTATTTTTAGACTTTTCCTAATTAGTAAATATTTGTAGTAATAAAATTCCTAGAATTTATAAACAATGCAACATGTTTTTTTCCAGAATTTAATAAACCAACTAAAAAAACAATAACTAAAAGTTTATAAATAATTTCCTGGTATTGTTTAAAACAAAAACCCTAAAACCCCACATCCGTTTCGAGAAAATTCTGGGAAAACCCAATCGCTTATCTGTTTGCTCCCACTAACAGGCATTCGTGTAGTATATGTTATGTATCTTTCGATTTCCTGTTGATGTTAGATGGTAAATCACCCAAATGTTTACCCCATGGATGTGGCTTCAAAGGGACTGGGGCCGAGACGGGTTTTTAATATCATAATGCCCCTTTCTCGGGAGCTCGCTCCTCCACTTTTTTGCTGTTATCAGGAGCCACCGAACTCCCAGACAACGCAGAAATCGATAATGTAAGCACACCGCTCGCATTTCAAAGTCACAAAGGCCAAGGGAGATGTGGCGGCTGATGGGTGTGCGGTGTGTGTGTGGGTTGTGTGTGTTGTGTGTGTTGTGGAGGTGTTTCGGGGCAGTGCACTGAAAGCAGAACCAAAAGAGCAATCAACAAATATGTGTACTTGCATATTTACGTCTGACTGCGTGTCAATACAAAAAAAATGTCTATAAATAACAAAGGCAAATAAGTGATAAATCGAGCGATAGAAAGCGGGTGTAAAATGGGGAGGAAGGAGGTGGAAAATCATGAAAATCACACGACTAATGTACATATGTACATCACATATTTATTTATGATTGCCTTGAGCGTTATATGTACATAGAACGGTAATGTTAATGGAAGCAAGTTCTCGGGCAGCGCCAAAGTCATAAAATCATCAGGCACACAAAACTCCATATTGCTCTAGCGAGGCTGCACTGGAAGAAAAAACTATTTAGAGAAAATTTGTATATATTTTTTCTACAAAAAATATTTGTTTCACTTTAAAGTTTTTCATTTTTTAATGCAGTCTTTATTTAAGTAATGTATGATATATATGAGAAGTTCTTATTCCCAAGTGAAGTTTAAAAACTAGCTTTTCATTTTTGTTTTAAGGTTTTTCTCGAGTTTTTTGTTATTGAGGCTTATCTTAAATTTATTGTAGATACAAGAACCATTTTGTGTAATATTTTTCTCAGTGAAAACTAGTGCGTTTTTCTGGGCAACTGGCACACACTATCGCTCAGATCCATAAAAGATGCAACGAACTGCGAACATTGGCACAATGGACGCCCTCTATCAATACACACACACAACACACACACAATACACACACTAAGTGTGAACGTTTCTATATATAATTGTGTTTACAAGTGGAGTTTTATAGCTGCAATCACATTACACATACGCCGCGTTGGCCCTGTCCATTAACAGCTGTCGGCGGCAGTGGGTTAGAGTTCAATGAATCCATGATTTTGCCATGTATATGCTCAGATTGTGATTATTTTCTAGAGAAGTCATAGAACTTACATCTAAATAACAAATGCAAGTTAAAGTCACTTCACACTTTATGAATTTATTAGCCTAGAACAATAATTTCTAATTAAAATCACAATCAATAAAGCGGGCATTAAGCGATTTTGTTTATATTTCCGCTTTGAGTTGTCATTTAAATGGCTTTTGAAAATCACTGGCAATTTTCCCAAGTCAAAGGCACACACAATCATTTATCATTATTTGTATGAATTAGCCATAAATCATTTAAATTGTTCGAAATGCAGTTCATTCAATTGAACGTCTATCGGTGATATATCTTTGTATCTTTCTATCTTTCTTGCATGATTTTCGCCTTTGGCTGCCGTTACTTTTTAATTTTTTGAACGAGCTTTTAATACATTTCCGTTGCGAGATATAAATTTGGTGTATCTGCAGATAACATTTATGCCAAACACGTAGATATGTCTAGAAGAGACAAAACGGAGAGAAAAACCCAAAAGAATATGTCGTGAAATTGCTTATTAATCTTTTTGACGAAATCACGACATTTGGGAAGTTACGTTTCGATTTTTTCCAACGAATTCGTTTATGCCACAACGAGATAGAAAGATACAAAGATACATAGATACATTGTTTGTTATTCTTTTTGGGTTTATTTTTAGCCAGACCACAGGATGTTTGCAAATGTTCAGTTTCGGTTTTAATTTATGACCATTTGGCATTAAAACATACAGCACTTTGCTTGGGTTCAAGTTCGTGTGTGTTTCGTGTGATGGAAACTCTTGTGGCGACCTTCGCCGGCAAGAAGACAAAGCGCTGCTAATCCCCCTCCATCTGAGCCAGCTGAGTGCCCGGTTTTGGGCCGTAAAGTGGGTAAATAAGCAGGCAGGCACAACAAGTATCTCAAAATTGATTTTCTGCAGGAGAATGTCTCGAGTCATGGCTAAACAATGGAACTAAAGACAGCGTAATGAGTCAAAGATACATTTGCCTATCGGTATCGCTAACTGTATCTGTATCTGTATCTCAGCCATTGCACCCTGTATCTGTATCGATTGAGGAAAGGCGAGAAAAAAGCAAAATATGTAAACATGTCAGAATCAAGCGTCGTCGTCGTCGTGTGTCCAATACTCAATGTATCTTGTATCTGTATCTCGTGGCGTGTTGTTTGTTTTTTTGTGATTAGACACAGGCGGCCGCAGAAATGTTATGACTGCGAATAAAACCAGGTTACAAAACGCAGCAGACACAACATAAAGGAAATTACGAGTCCGACACACATCGAATGCTGCTGCTGCTCTTGGTTTTTTATGCTGCGAAAATGCGGGCTTAACTCGTATAAATAATGTATCCGCAGACACCAGCAAAAGACGCGTTGCAATTGCATCCCATAATAAAAAAAACACTGTGGGCTGGGCTGCGACGTCTGCGATTGATAAAAAGTCAATTAAACTGAATTACATTCTCGCACACTTGAAGAAAGTTGTGTCTGTTGGGGAACAAAGGATAAGGATTTTTCATTCAGTAAAAGTTTTGAGAACGAAGAAGCTTCAACTTAATTTTACTAAAATTGAATATACTTTTTAGAATACTATTAAAGAAATCCCTTATATAGAAACATGTTCAAATGCTTTACCATTTATTATCTCATAACTTTTGAAGCCCACTTTAAATCTCACTTTATTTTCCAGCTTATATATTCCCCTAAAGTGTTTATCACCTAGGAATGCAAATAACTCTGTTTAAATATTGACTCCTACTCATATTACTTGCCACCGAATTGACACAATTTCCTGGCTTTTTCCCTGTGTAACTAGCTCTTGTTAATGCTAATGTTTGCCAACTAATTTGAACGCTCAGACTCAAAGCACCTTCTGTGTTTGTTTGATTTAGCTGGCTAACACGAGATCTCCGTCTGGAGGAATGCTAATCCCAATTCAGGCTCGTCTCGCTGGCTGTGTTCTAGCCCAAAAACCCACCTCCTACCTCCTACCACCACCCACTTCCATATCCATTCCCTCTCCTCCCTGGCCAGTGGAAGCGTGAAGCGCAGTTGCGTTTTTCGTTACGTTCCGCTGGATGCGTGGCAAGTAGCGACCACCCTTCGCTGCCAATAAAAGAGTTTTCATATACATGTACTTATATGAAGTTGTAAAATAGGCGAAATACTCGCACAGATAAAAATAAAAACGCAAACGAGGCAGCAGCAACCACTGCATAAAATTCCACAGCTCGACACGCACACCCAGAGCTGCTGCAGGTTTTCAGCTTCTGCTTCTGTGCCGCAATGTCTGCGGCTGGAAGTGGTAGCCCGGCAATCGGAATGGGAATGGGGATGGGAATGGGTATATACGGGATGGGATGGTGGCAGGAGCAGGGACGGACAGGCTCTAGTAACGAAACTGGCACTGGGACTGGGACTGGGACTGGACAGGTGGCTGCCACGGGCACGCTCCTCCTGGAGGCTTGACCAGCTGAAGCCAATCGACCCGATCGACGGGTATTCAAGCACTTGGAGAAAAAGTAGTGGGAAAGAGGGAATTTGCAGGAAAATTGAGAGGACTTCAGAGAATCTCTTAAACCAGAAAATATTATCTAGAACCAGGGAAAACATGGCTTCTAATTTGTTTAAAATGTAAATTGACATCTAAACTAAATATAGAATATAAAATATATTATTTCACATTTTTTATATATAATTAAAAACTTCAATTTCAGTGTAAACCCAAGAAAGAAAAACCAACATAGACCAAAACTATTTTCCGGTTCTCAGCACCAATGAAAGTTCTGTCTGGAAAACAGCTTTTTCTTGCATATTTCTTTTAACAAATTTTCAACTTAATTTGAAAAATGACTAAACATTAATTGAAAACTGATCACATAAATAGTAAACTAAATTTAGTGAATTCCCTAGTTAATTTCTGCAATTAATTTGTAGGTAAGGAAAGGCCTGGAAAATGATAGTTCATTGATAAACATTAAACGTCAGGTGTTTTTTACAGCTCCTAGTAAAAGTCAATGTTTGAGATTCGATAAGAAGTTATTAATGATTGTCCAAGTACATATATAGTTTATAGACCCATTTCACTGACTCATTAAGAGTGTAAATTTAAGTATGTCTATGGGTTTTTTGTTTGTCAATTAAAAAGACGATTCACGGTCTTGAATAACTCACAGAGTTTTAGCTGAAATAGCTCTCTAATTAAGGGAGATATATATAGTTAAGAATGTATCAGAGATTGTTACTTTAATATTACTTTTACTTATTTTTTTCAAACACAAACTCTAAGTTTACTTTATTTTATATGAAATATTTTAATTATATAATATTTAAAGTCACTAAATTCTTATACACTCCATCTCATGTACATTTTTTATAGAAAGTAAAAAGTATTATTTTCTTGGAAAATCTCCAATATCTTTACCCTTTGGTATTTAAACAAGTTCCTTTTTAATTTCTTAATATTTAAATAACATTTACTTTTGGCAGATTTCCAGCGATGAACTCGACGTTTTTCCAGCGGTAATTATTTGGCTTAATTGCTCTGTTCCTAGTTCTCGACTGCAAAAATTTCACTTGCCGAGATTTTGAATTTATTTTTTTCTTATTTTGAGGTGGCTGGTGCCGCTTTAGGATTTTCCACTTTTCCGCTGCTGCTGCTGCTGCTGCGACTTTCTGCTCAATGAGATTTTCATTTGCACGAGAGCACAATGAGGGCGAAAAACACTCACACACACACGACGGCAACGACAACGACGACGCTCGAGCGGTTTGTTTAACTGTTTGTTTATCAGGCAGCGGCCGAAACGATTTGCCGGAGTTAGGGGGCCAAGAAGTATCTTCAACACTGAACTGAGCTGAACTGAACTGGAGCCAAGCACGCGCAGCCGGTGAGCACCAATGTAAGACTGAATCCGCAGACGGAAAAGTATCTGCCGGATACACACAATGCCGGTACGAGCTTAACAGAGTCGACTCAAAGTTCTCTCTCTCGCTGTTAATGCTCTCTGGCTGTGTGTGTGTGCGTGTATGTTGATGTGCCCGCTGATTTGTGGAGAACTGGGGTGCGATTAATGATCAGCAGAAGCAGCAGCTGACCAGGCCAATATGTCGAGCTTCGGTGATTCCAGTTACCAGCTACCTGTGAGCACCTTCACCGTGTATTTCCTACATAACATATGTATATATTCCTCATCGCTAGATAGGCCCAAGCTGCGATCTGTAAATTTATTGACTTGCCATTCGGCTTTGAACCATCGTAAACTTGTATTTATAGTGTCCAAGCTACCTTCTGTCAGATCCGTATCGGTCCTAGATGGGAGCTCGTGGAGTCACGCCTCAATCAAAATTAGTTTTTAGGGTTTTTATACCCTTGCAGGGTATTATGATTTTAGTCAGAAGCTTAAAACTTAGTGAAGGAGTCATTTCCGACCCTATAAATCATATATATTCTTGCTCAGCATCAACAGCCGAGTCGATCTAGCCATGTCTGGTTAAAAAGAAAAATTCGAATTTTTTTTTTCAATTTTTTTCTCAAAATATTTACATTATCACAACTGCCAAAATTTGACAAAATTTTAGATTTCTTTTTAATAAAAATTGAGTATGCAGATTTAATATTCTAATAAAAACTAGCATAGGACAGCTTTCAGAATTAAAATTAAAGCCTTTTTTTGCTAAGTTATGAGATTTTTAAAATTTGATTTATAGACCAAATTGTCATATAAAAAATAGAGAAATATCGACTCAAAGAATGGTATTAAAATTTCAGTCAGAAGCTAAAAACTAAGTGAAGGAGTCATTTCCGACCTTATAAATCATATATATTCTTGATCAGAATGAACAGTCGAGTCAATCTAGCCATGTCTGGATACAAAAAAAATGTTGATTATTTTTTCCAATTTTTTTCCCAAAATATTTACATTATCACAATTACCAAAATTTGACAAAATTGTAGATTTCTTTTAAATTAAAATCGAGTATGCAGATTTAATATTCTAATAAAAACTAGCATAGGACAGCTTTCAGAATTAAAATTAAGGCTTTTTTGGCTAAGTTATGAGATTTTAAAAATTTGATTTATAGACCAAATTGTCATATAAAAAATAGAGAAATATCGACTCAAAGAATGGTATTAAAATTTCAGTCAGAAGCTAAAAACTAAGTGAAGGAGTCATTTCCGACCTTATAAATCATATATATTCTTGATCAGGATGAACCGCCGAATGAACAGTCGAGTCAATCTAGCCATGTCTGGATACAAAAAAAATTTTGATTATTTTTTCCAATTTTTTTCCCAAAAAATTTACATTATCACAATTACCAAAATTTGACAAAATTATAGATTTCTTTTTAATAAAAATTGAGTATGCAGATTTAATATTCTAATAAAAACTAACATAGGACAGCTTTCAGAATTAAAATTAAGGCCTTTTTTGCTAAGTTATGAGATTTTAAAAATTTGATTTATAGACCAAATTGTCATATAAAATATAGACTCAAAGAATGGTATTATAGTTTCAATCGGAAGCTTAAACCTAAGTGAAGGAGTCATTTCCGACCCTATAAATCATATATATTCTTGATCAGGATAAACAGACGAGTCGATCTAGTCATGTTTGGTTAAAAAAAATTTTGAAGATTTTTTTTGAATTTTTTTTCAAATAATTTACATTATTACAATTGCCAAAATTTGACAAAATTTTAGATTTCTTTTTAATAAAAATTGAGTATGCAGATTTAATATTCTAATAAAAACTAGCATAGGACAGCTTTCAGAATTAAAACTAAGGCCTTTTTGGCTAAGTTATGAGATTTTTAACATTTGATTTATAGACCAAATTGTCATATAAAATATAGATAAACATCGACTCAAAGAATGGCATTATAAGTCTAGTCAAATGCTTGTACCGCTTGAAGGAGTTATTTCCGACCCTATAAATTATACATATATATTCGTGATCAGCATGTATAGCTTAATCAATCTAGCTATGTCCGGCAAAAAATTTTTTTTAATATTTTAACAATCTTTTTAAGGGGTCAAAAATTGATAAAAATTTTATTTATTTTTAAATGGTATATTAAATATGCAGATTTATTATCCAAATAAATACTAACATTGAACAGCTTTCTGAATTAAATTTAATCATTTTTTGGCTTAGCTATGAGATTTTTAAACTTTGATTTGTCGAATAAACTGTCATAAAAATATCGAAATGCGAATATTTGAAGATTAGTTATAATCAATTTTAATACGTTTCTATAATTAAATTGCGAACTTGCAAGGGTATATAAACTACGGCTCAACGATGTTAGGTTCCCTTTTTGCTTTTTTCTACATTTAATTAAATTATCAAAGCTATATAAAAAGAGCTTGTGACCAAAAAGATATCAACAGAAGATGATAATGCTAATAAAACATATTAAAATAAATGGAGAAAATATAAAAACAAATAGAAAATGGCTTTACAAATTTAAAATTAATTTACAAAATGAATAAAATCTAGTTACTATAACATTAGTATCAATAGTAAATCATACAAATTCCAAGAAATATTAAGGGAGTTTCCCGAGGTTTAAAAATAATATAAAACTCATAACTTAAATATTAAAACCAGCTATAATAAAATAAAAATCTTAGCTTAAATATTACAATCAGCTATAAATGTTTATACTTATATTAGAATATAAATTTCATTCAAAAACTATCAATTATTAATATTATGGCTTTCAAAATAATCCCCTGAACGCATATCCCAAAAGGTAGGCTATGTTTTTTGTTAACTCTTCTATGGTTTGTGCATTGCACTACTTATTTATGGTTTTTTCCAGTAAAACATGGCAACCTTTCTAAAACTTTATACATCATTTTCAAATGCTAACAGCATGTAATAGAGTGTTCACTGTACACCGGCGGCGACAAATGTCACGCTTTTGAGCACTGACAGCCGCTGAGCTTAGAATGCGCCGCCGACTGCAACGGCAGCAAGTAGAGAGAGAGAGAGACAGAGAGAAAGAGAGCTAAAGAAAGTAGGCAGCGGCAGGCCAAACTGGTCAGAATTTACAGTTGAAGCGGAGCGGAAAGGAGCTGCATGGAAAGCGGCGATAAAAAGCACAGCAGCCGTAGCCATAGCCATTGACCATAAACTTGAAAACCCAACAGAGGGCCAGCTAACAGCGGGTGAGAGCAACAGAGCTGTTAGGGTGACTGAGTTAGACTGTTAGCCGGCTGTTAAGCAACTGCCAATTATGCGCGGACTTAACAAAATGTGACATACGTCACTCAAGCGGCCAAGAAGCGAGCACAAAGCATTTAAGGAAATCAATAAATAAATATTTGAGAAGCGGATGTTAAGCCTGATGTCTTAAGTCTTAATTGCACTCGCTCGCTCGGAGACTTTTGGTTGACAACGAAAGGCAATAAGATATTTATGTCCCCTGGCGGTTGCTCCCTCACAGCTTCTCTCTGTTCTTCATTTTAAATATTGAAGTTAACCTCTCGTAGGAGTGTGTTGCATAAGATACAACATGAGGCTGGCCAACACAGCGTATGCTTAATTTGGGGAATCCTTAAATATTCAATTGGGCCAAGGGAAAGAGTCCAACTTTGACCCTCTGCATGGGGCGGGCGTCTTTGTTTCTGGCCAAACCATTGAACTCAAAAGTTCAAGAGTTCATCTCGTGGCAGCATCTGCCTCTTGCCTTCTTAGCCATGTTTATGGCCCCTTGTTGCGCATTTATTGTGTGGTTAAGCCAGTCTTCCAGTCCAGAAAAAAAATAACCGAAAAAAATTGGCACTCGAGGGTTCCTTGACGTGTCTCCGGGATGAGAGATTCGCCTTTATGCTCTCCATTAATTCCATTTGGCCACCCTGTCTGTCTCCTCACAAAAGCGAAAATTGGTTTAATAGTCGCTGTCTGAGCATTTGAAAGTATTTTCTTTGTTTTTCTTTATTTTCTTGATTTTTTTTAGCATATAATTAATGATTAGTTGGGTCAGTTCATCAAGTCCCTGGCGTTTTCAGGGGCTTGGCTTTACGCATCATTATTTGGCCCGTTCATTACCTCTTTTATGTTTTGTGGAAAGATCGTTAAAGAAGTGTGAGAGAAGTGTGTTTACAGACTTAATGACTCAAAACTTATAAAGGTTTTTATTTAGAGCTATAAATAGAAATTTTAATCAAATATTTTTATATCTTTCATTTACTCACGTAGTTTTCATTACATGTTAACTAGTTTTTAAAGTTTTTACACAGTTTTTTCTATTATTAGAGCTGATTTCATTTTCTCAAGAAGTCTATTCTTTAAGCCCCGTCAAGATTTTTGTTTTTCTTTCACACATTTCGCTGTTATGTGAAACGGTTAATCCAAGGTCTTTTAATGCTTTATTATGTAAACGAGCCAAGCAAGCATTTTATTTTTCTTTTACTTAATGTCACAATCTCAATAAAATTATCTATGGCTGCTTTAATTAAAGTTACTTTGGCCCAACCAAGTTCTAAGCCATATTTATGCTGAGCTAAAAGGGCAGTGGCTTAGATTATCTTTTTATCAAGGGGGGTTTTGCTTTAACGAAATATTTTGTTAAGTGAAAATATATACAAGTATTCTAAGAACCCCTTAGCTCCGCCTGTGGCCTTACCACAGCTCGTATATCTTGCTAGCCAAGTTTGCTGTTCAGCTTTTGGTAGGAACTACATGGCCAAGAGATTCATTCACTCATTCATTCATTCCAAATGCTGCTTGTTGAGCTTTTGTGTGTCTAAATGAGAAGGAATTTAAACACAGAATTAAGCTGGAAAAAGGTAACAAATTTTCTAGTGAAAAAAAAAGAAATCTAAAACACGTTTTATCACCCGGCAAGGCCGCACAAAATTTCGAGCCACCAGACGAACTCCAGGTCGCAGCACCTGGCAACTGATGAAGACCACGTCTTGTGCGCCTCTCAGTCATTCCCCCTGGAAAAGCTACCCCCCTATACACAGAAATTAAATTTAAGGATCAAGATAATATCTTTTTTCTTTGGAGAATAATTTCAAATTTTATACTGACATTTCTGTGACTTATTAATAAATTTAAAAAATTTTACAATACTTCCTCATCTTCCCAATCTGTCTTAGAGCAAAAGGTATATATTTTTTATATTTTTTAGACAACCTAAATTAGTTGTATATTAATTTTCTACCCCAAATTAATTATCCTTTATTCCCTCATCATTTAATACAACATTTTTCGCTGTCTATTCATCTCATTGAGGTCTCTCCCTTCTTTGTGGTTCGTCTGGCGAAATTTCCATTTCGTTAAATGCAGAGAATTTACGAGTTTTCTGGCTGCACGTGCACCACATGTCCTTTCCGTCCGAAATGCTTTACGAGTCTTTGCCATCGTCCTTTCGCCGGCGTGGGTTTGGATTTTTTGGGGGAATTTTCTAAATTTTTCTTTCTCTCCCCGACTTGAATGTTATTGAACTTTGGCGTCTCGACGTCTGTGACAGAAGCGAATAAGTTTTTCGGATAACGCAAATAAATTTTAAGCAGTCCCCAAGGACTCTGGCCGAAATAACTAAACAGAAATATACAAATCCAAGGAATATATGTACTACTGCTAGTGTATGGTGCATTTGTGTCAATAACCCTTATTAGGGGAAAAGCACAAAACTCCCACAAGTCATGCAAGCTCATGCAATTTTCTCGGAAAATTGTCGACAACGACATTCTGCAAATTCCATTTGGCAGACACAAGTTTTTCCCTTGAAAAATAACCTAAAGTTCTCCTTCGATAATTGCTTAAAAAGTGTTGCAATTAGAGGAAGAGAAGCTTCTGCTTCTAATGGTTTTTGTTGTGCTTCTAAAAATAAATGCAAATCACCTTTTAGTGGGATGTTATCACCAGGGGGAAAAAAAACACCCAACCAGATACCCTTTCGGTACCACATGCCACGCCCTCGTCTCCACCAGGATCCCCTTTGTCCTTCATTAAAAGCATTAACATTGCCAGTGGGGGAGAAAAAAAATAGCAAAAAAGTGAACTAAAGATGCAATTTAAACGATGCTGTTGTCCACTTAGTTTAAGGACATGCGAGGAGTGGCTAAGGCTAAGGATTAGTTAAATATTTGTTTATTATTTTTTATATTGCACTAGAAAAACATTTTTTCTTTTCTTGTACTAATATAAACCTATTTAATGTTTTCTTTGGTTTGGCTTTGAGACTAAACCTTTCGGATGAGAATTCTTTGTACAGCTATATAATTACATCGGTTCATGATGGAATTTTAGATTATACACTTAAAGATCGATGTTTCTCCACGTTATTTTATTCTTATATATATAATATTTAAAATTTAATACATACTTAAGATATAATTCCTATATTAAATAGGTGCCTGAAATTACAGGCTATCAAATAGTCGACTACATTGATGTTTCTCCATGTTACTTTATACTTATATGTATAATATTTAATGTTTAATACATACTTAAGATATAATTCCTATATTTAATAGGTGCCTGAAATTACAGGCTATCAAATAATCGACTACATATACCCACATACCACATGCACTCCATGGGCGTGTGTTTTTTAGCGGGGATGCCTGTGGGTGGTGTGTGTCCTATTCTCCAGCTCGCGCTGCCCACTTGACTGGCTTGGGTGACGTGACTCCCTGAAATATGCAATGGGTTTTTGTTATGTTGCTACCAGACTTTCGCATTTCGCCCACTTTACGGCTCCGAATGGCATTTTCCCCCCAACCAACCCCTTCTTGGCCTGAAGGGGTTGCACATTCGCCGCTTTTGTTTGGACTTTTGTGCAGCGTCGTCGCTTGGGTGTTTTAATGGGTAGCTCCCAGTCCGGGGGGCAGCGGGTGCTTAGCGCTTTATTTTCATTAACATTTTGCAAGTCGCCTCTTTGGATTGCTTTAATTTACAGTGGTGGTGTGGGGAGGGGGGAGGACAAAGCGGCGCATGCGTCGAGGGAGCTGTAAGCTAACAGAGTCCCCTCCTGCAATTAGCAGGTTTGGAATTTCCTAGGTGTAATGATAGGTTTTGGCAGAGAGCCGTGCTTGACAATGATAAGGTATTGTACATATATCTAAATGACACTTTCTTTGGGGTGTACAGTTTCCAAAAAGGCTGCAAAATGCAAATTAAATTCGATTAAGCATCATGGCAGGGAATAGGAGAAACACTCCCTCTATGTACCTTTTAGTTCCTTCCTATCCTCCTCCTTCAACCGCTATTAAATTATTAAAGCCACTGTCGACACAAAAAACAAGGAAAAGATAAAAGCTTTTTATCGATTTTCATAGAAGCACAGAGAGGAAAAATGTTATATATTTAAGATGGGAATTTAAAATATCAAAAAATGTGTTCTTAATAGAAAATTGTTCATAGTTTTATAAGGTTAATTGTTAAGAATATTATTAGGTATTTATGTAAGGCAAACAAATTGTATTTAAACTAGAAATAATAAATCTATAAATCAAATTTTAAAAAACTCATAACTAAGCCAAAGATGCATTAATTTTAATTCGGAAACCTTTCTTATGCTAGTTTTTATTAGGGCAGCAAAACTGCACACTCAGATTAAAATGTTAAAAAATCCAAATTTTTCATAATATTTTTAACGATGTAAATCCAAAAAAAAAAATTCAAAATTTAGAAAAAAATAAATTTTTATCGGACATGGCTAGATCGTCTTAGCTTTTAATGCAGATCAAGAATATATATGGGTTATGGGGCAGGAAATGACCCTTTCATCAAGAAAATGTGAAAAATGACCATTATAGAGACTTCAGATCAAAAATTTTATATGATATATATTTTTAAAGAAAATCACCCTCTTTTAAATGTCATAATTAAACCAAAAATGCATTAATTTCAAATTCAAAATCGTTCCTATGTAAGTTTTTATTACGTTAACAAATCTGCATACTCAATTTTAAATTTAAGAAAATTTAAATTTTTTGTCAATTTTTGATAATTTTAACGATGCAACCCCTTATAAAATTTTAAAAAAATTGTCAAAAAAATTTGTTCTTTTCTATATGCCCAGAAAGATTCGCCTGTTCATGCTGATCAAGAATATATGTGATATATAAGGTCGGATATGACTCCTTCACTGAGTTTTAAGTTTATAATCCACTGCAATATGCAATATTAATATTTTTCTCTCTCTGTACCCCATGTTTGCGGTTTTCCAATGCAAACCCTATTAAAAGAGACCCCAGTGAAAGAGCCGGGTCGACATCCTCGGCTTTTATTGTTGTTCCAAATTGACAATATAGAAACATTACAAGGTTCGCAAGGTTGGGGTTGAAAGCGGCAACATATGGTGGCTTCCAGGCGAGAGAGAGAGAGAGCGCAGAGAGCTTTCACTTTCCAGTGAAAAACATATGGGAGAGTAAAGCCCTTTCGTGGAAAATACACCCCAGAATATAGCCACCTTTATCGATAACAGCCACCCCCATCATCAGCTGATAACAAAAGCTTTCCCGATATCTGTGGGTGAAAAAGCTGTAAGGAGAAAGTTCATAAATTTCCTGAACACTTCCATTGGTTTACATTTTTGGCCAATTTTCTGTCATCTTCTAATATGAATATTAATTAAAAATATAAAACAAAACAACTGCAAATCAGTGAACAATTTTAAGGTAGGGAAAGTCCTAGGCTTTAATTATTTCAAGGCGTTGAAGTGTGAACAAAGGTAAAGTGTGTGTGCGGAAGAGGAAAAGTTCAAAAATCAATAAGCGTGTAAAATTTGTAAACACGACAAGCCCTCGACCAGCCTCTCTGGGTCTCTTTCTCTCTCCCCCGGGAACCACCCCCATTTCCCCCGGTGAACTGTGACCGCCAGCTGCCGAAATATAAAAATCATAAGAAATAAAGAAAGGCTTCGGGCGTGAACGTAAAAACCACAGAAAAACCCCATTAACTTTCGAGATGATGACCATTTACGTGCTGCTACTGACAATGATGATCGCTGGAGCAACGGCCACCGCAGAGCAGGTGGAATACCTGGATACACATCCGCGGCAATCTTCACCAGCGGATCATGATCACCGCCTAAGCAAGCGCATGGATCTGGAGGTGTGTATAGGTGAGTTTTTCCAGCCAATTCATAAACAATTGCCTGTTTTTAATAACAATAAACAACCCTCCCTCCTCTTAGGCCACTTTGATGTCCACAAAACACCATAATACGCACTGGGGAGTCCCAGGCAATTGGCGGCAAGTATCTCCAGGGCCTCGAGCTGGACACCATTGAGGAATGCGAGCGTCTCTGCTGCGAGACGGATGCCTGCGATGTGTACATCTTTGAGAGGAAAACCGGTGGCTACTGCTATCTCTTCGAGTGTGGTCCACCGGAGAACTTCCATTGCAAGTTCACGCGGCACTCCAACTACACGAGCGCCGTGTTGACTCCACAGGCCAGGCAGACCAGCGAGGTGGCCAGCACTCCACGTCCACAGCTACCGCACATACCCAGCAACAATGTCTCGCAGCAGGAATGGGAGCTGAGCAACCTCAAGCTAAAACCGGAAGCGAGGGACAAGCCCTCGGTGGCCTCGTCAGTGGTGGCTCCCACCGGCTCGGGGGCATCTGGATCTGGAGTGGGTGTGGCCCAGGCCCAAGCAATTAACCCAGTTCAAAGTGGTGAGTTGTGGCTGTGATACTCTGGGATTTGTGGGGTATATGGGGATCACTTAAAGGGAGTATTAACTTTTATATAAAAAGAGCTGTAAACTCCGGGGTGTATCATAGTCGGTTACCTTCTTTGTTGCTAACTTTTCTCGATTTCAGTTCCCATTGCGCATTGTAGCCGCTTCCAGTTTACCTGCCACTCGGCGAATGCATTGCGGTGTACAATGCCTGTGATGGGATTCCCCAGTGCGAAGATGGCAGCGACGAGGGACCGGAAGTGAGTTCACCCTCCCCTAGAAGCGATCATTTTTAAATCCACTAACTAACCCAATTTTCAGTGCGATACCGTATCATCAAGTGCCACGAAATCGAGTGGCAGCAGCAACAGCGTGGAGCCCGTGAAGCCAATGGTGCAGCAATATGTACCTGTGCAGAACGTGCAGCAGCAATTGCAAGTTGCCGCCCAACAACAGCAGCAGCAGCAGCAGCAGCAGCAACAGCCGCAACATGTCATTGTTCTGGGACCACCGCCACCGCCGCCACCACCACCGCCCATGGTCAACAATCGTGAAGATGCCGCTGCCTGGGCCAACCGCAAGATGATTACCGAGGGGCAGCAGCAGCAGCAACTACAGCCGCAGCAGCAATTGCAACAGCAGCAGCAGCAACAGCAACAGCAGCAGCAACAAGGAGGAAGCATAAGCACAGGTAAATATATATTAAAAACACGTTAGTGAAATAAACTTCCAATTAAAATAAGAAAAGCAAAGACAAACTTAAATGAATTAAAAGTTTCTAGAATAAAAAGAAAAACCTTTTTCTGAAACCTCCTAAGATGATACTAGATTATAAGATTTAAAATTAGACTAAATTTTAAACCCTCATTTATTTCAACTATATTTCTCAAATGTTCCCTCAAGTTAACGCTATAAATTTTAAAACATATCTGACTCAGATTAAGTGACTATGTCTTTCGCCTTAGGCTTTCCTCATTGTACTTTTAACATTTTAATTAAAGTCGATTGGATGTCCACCAGCAATTAGAGCCTGAGCCACTGACAAAACTAAAAAATTAAGTAAATATTTATGAGGGAAAGGAACCGATCCCGGGAGGAGCCTCTGGCGCGACATTAGCACACAAATTGGAGCCATTGGAGCGCACGCAATAATCGCACTGCCTTTCCCTGAGCTCACACAAGCTTTTCTTCTGGGAAAATCGCAAATTGCCCATCAGTTTTCATTGTGAGAAAAGGGGTGGGGAGACAGGGTCTGCCGTCGCTCAAATTGATTTACGGATGTGGTGTAGGGTGTAGAGTGAAGAGTGTGTAGTATGCGTGTTGTCTACTCGTAATTAATTCAATTAGCTGTGCGTTAAGCTGGGAGACACACTTCTTACTTCCTTGTGTCGCCTTCCAATCTCTTTTGCAGATGAGCAGAGCCACATCTTCAGTCACAAAGGCGGCCTCCAATTGCAGCCACCGTCAGCGAATGTCCAGGTTCAGGGACAGCAGGCACAGGGAGGAGGAGCAGCAACTGTCCAGCAAGTTCAGGGGCAACCAACACCGCTCCAAGTGCCTGCCTATGACACCAATCAAGCCATGTACGGGATGTCGTTGCCACGCTCCGGAATGTATGTATCCCAACAGCAGCAGCAGACACCACAGAATCCCCTGCAGCAACTCCAGGCAGCGTCCTCTGGCCAGCAAATGCCACCAAATGTGGTATGGCCACAACAGCAGCAGCAGCAGCAGCAACAGCAACAAACGTTGCCGGTGCAACAGCAGCCGCAGCAACAACAGGTCTATGCTCCAGTTGCTCCCGCTCCGTCAGTTCAGCATCAAACGGTGGCCATGCTGCCAGTCCTGAATGCTGCACCAGCTCAGGGCAAAAACCAGGCTCCTTCTGCTGATGGGGATTACGAGGATTACGATGAAGAAACCTACACAGAGGCTCCGAAGAAGGTAGGTAGATAAAACCCTTATCCCCTCAATGTTTTAACCCTTTTAATCAATAGAAGCAACACAAGCACAAGAAAGTCAAGGCCAAAACGGCTAAGGATCCCATTGAACTGGCCTTGGAGCAGAATAAGCAACAGCAGGAGACGGCTGCGGCGGCATCACTGCCATCGGCAGCCCTGCTCGTACCCGTTTCCGCCGTGCACGAGCAGTACAAGATGATACACGAGAACCTGGCGATGGAGTTCCGGGACCATGACGGCCATTCGGAGCGTCCTGGCGGAGCTGTGCTCTCGCTGACACTGGGCCTGCTGGTCACTGCCGCCTTGGCCATTCTCATTGGCTGCCGGATGCGGACGGTTAGCCGGAGGGCACGACGTTTGGGCGGCAAGACGCCCTATTCCCAGGAGGCCGACTTTCTGGTCAATGGCATGTACCTCTAAGGGAGGACACGGGAACGGGAACGTGGGGGTTGGCCAAGATTTTTGTTGTTCCACAATCTGCGGAGCGGGGAGCATATTATAAATATTTATGATGTATTAAGTGTAATTAAAAACATATTTTATATAAACAAACATACCAATGTATATCAAATAAAATTGAAATTAAATTATTTACGAGGATTTTTAATATGGTTTATAAAAGCATCCTAATATCCTGTCAAGAACATGTAGTTGCATTGGGTAAGCAATCTAAATGCAATTCCTGCTAAACATAAAACATATAAAAAATACCCAGCTTTAAGAATTTTCCATTATTTTTTATTTAAGATCATTTTCCATCCTCGATTTCAGTTTCCTTTTGTTTACGAAAAAACTTACAATTAGTTTTCAGTTTTATTTTTTTGTTATGCAATTTCAGTTTTTCTCTTGGATGTGACAATTTTTTAGTCATTAAAACTACAACATAATAGGAAGTTGGTTTGTTTATATATTTTCGCTTTCTGTTGTTTTCTTTTTATAGATCAGCTCCATACTCTCTGCTTCCATTACAAGCCCAAAATCAATGTTAATGCTCATACACAGTTGATTTCTAAAAATTAATTTGGCCAAAAAAACTAATTTCAAACGCTTACAAATATCACATTAAGAAATTAAACCGAATCAAATTTTAATATATATAAATAACAAAAGTTTGTATATTTTCGATTTGGAATTTGGAATAAGTTTTGTCTTAAGTTTTGTATACATAGATTTATTTCGTTTTCCACTCCACAGTTTTAGTCTTTTGTTGTTGAGAATATTTTTTGTTTTTTTGCTGTGGCCAGTTTCCCTTTTTGTTTGTTTTGCGATTGAGAAATATCGTTTATGAAGTTTGATGCCCTGACATTGTTGGTTGTGTGTTATCAATATATATATATATAATTTTTTTTTGTTACAAGTATTATGCATTAAAATAGGCTTTCTCTTTACTTGTTAGCTCCATTTTTCACCTAACACTGTACACATATAATGTAAACTAGTTGTATTCTATTTAATTATGCAGTTGAATAGTTTATATTTAAATGTGTCAATATGTGCAATTTACGATGCAATTTCTTGTCGAAAGTGTCTCACCGCCTTCGCTCGTGTCAATGTTTTACGTTTGCTAAGCGATCTAAAAACATAACGCAATTATCTCCAAATATTAGATTTTTTTTACAATTCTTGTGTATAAACTCGATATATAAATATGAACGGGGATCATGATCGACCATTTGCCTGGCTGTTGACTGCTGCTCTTCTGTACGTGTTATGGTAATTGTTACTGTTAATTTAATAGTTAGCGTAGTTTAATATATATTTTTATAAAATAGGCTTCCTCTTTAGCAAGATGCGAATTTTCGTTTCTGTTGCAGTTTTCGGTAGATTGTGGTACATGTACGAAGCCAGATCTTACGCATCATGTTGCGTACCTGTTTAGGCATTTAAAAAAATTGATATTGCTGCAATTGGTTTAATTACAATATGTGCGAGACTCACCTTTTTGTCCAGAGACGCGCAATTCGATCATGCTCCTCTCGATTTTGTAAATATTGCGTGGCAATACTGCCCACCAGCGGATCGGCTGTAAATTATGATGAAATTATGTTTTAAAGATTACGAAATATTGAGTTATATCTATAATTAACATTCCTAAGTAATAAACCCTTCATTTTCCCTTCCTTACCTGGATTACAGTCTGTGAGCAGGGAGCAAATTGACAGCAACACCTTAGATATGGTCAGCGCCGGCGACCAGTTGTCCTTGAGTATGTCCAGGCAGATAACGCCCTGGCTATTGATATTACAGTGATAGATGCGCGTACGGAACGTGACTTTGGGCGGCTTGAAGGGATATTCCGGCGAGAAGTGTATGTCGAGGAAGAACACTCCGCCCTCGTAGACGGAGCCCGGTGGTCCCAGGATGGTCGACACCCATTCGTACAGATTGTCGCCCTTTGGCCCGGCACTGCAATTGGGAGGCGGGTCTAGTGTGATCTCCGCCAGCTCCTTTTGTATGCGCTTGGCCGAGGTGCCCAACGCCTTGGATATCCTTGGCGTGGGCTTAGTGTCCTTGCGCGGCTCATCACCGCCGCCAGCGTTGCTGCCAGAGGCACCACCATTGGCATTCGCTCCACGGCCACCACGAGCAGGCGTCGTGGCGGCAGCGGCTGTGGTTTGATTGGTGTTGCTGGCATTGCTGGTCGCTGTGCTGGGTGCGCTGGCATTGGAGCTAGCACTGGAGGTGGCCACCTCGGTGGCACTGCCTGCGGCTGGCGTTGAAGACATGACTATGATATAATTCGGAGTGGCTGTAACGGGAGAGATTTGATCAATTAGTCACAGGGCTTTACTTTTTCAGTGACCTGCCTTGATGGGCAGTGAAAATTGGACTGTAACCATAGATTTCTGTGGCTGCTTTGATTATTTATATACTGAATTAGTAGAAAAATCAAGAATGGAAGATTCCTCTTAAAAATTAACACTCTTTAAACTCTACAAAAGCCGGCTGATTGTAATTGTAAATGTCTGAAACTTTATATTCTGTAAACTAAAGATCTCTATGTTAGATTGGGAGGAAATTGTATAATGACTAATAACTTAGCTATTTTTTTATAAACAAATGCCAGAAACATGGATTCTCCCGTTGTATATTTTTATTTAATGGATAAATTAAATCAAAGTATTATTTCTTTGAGGTATATATTAGTCCCCATTGTTTACCAATGTAAACTATAAAGGCCTTCGTTTACATGTGACCCGTTGAGCCCCACAGGGTCCTTGACCTGATTTGCAGCTCAAAAAGAGAGGAGTTCAGAGTGGAGCCTACTCGACTTTGTTTTTGGCATCAGCGGCGCGCAGGGGATTGCCTTTTTTCGCACTAACGCACACTCTTTTTTATTGGCCTGGGGCAGCGGCCATTTTGGCAAAAACCCTTCGACGAAGCGGAAGAGGGGCTATCCGGGGGGCTACTACGTTGGACCTGGGTATTCCGATGACCCTGGAACGGCTATAAGGTTCCATGCATGCGGAAAACTGACTTTCAGCTGCAGGCGGAGCTGCATGCGGCAAAAAATCAATCGGCAGTAGACATTTGCAAAACGCGTTGCCGCCGCCGCCGCCGACGATGATGATGCCGCCGCTGCTCCTCGCGCTGTCCCCTGCCTGCAGCTTGATTGCACAATTTCGCGGAACGGAGTGCGGACGATTAATCAGAGCAATGCTCACCGACTTTCCACTGATACACACCTCGTTGTCGCAGTTAATTTCGCTTTTTTCTATCACAACACTTGCGAAAACGTCTCGCTCGCCTTAGTCGCCTGCAGCTGCCCTCTCGCTCGCACTCGTACGCCTTCGGCCTTCGCTGTGGGTGGGCGTGCAGCTCCTATCCTGCTCTGCTCGCGTCTTCCGTGCCGGGCGGTACGTGGGCGTGTGTCGCGACAAAATTGGCACCTTCGAGGGCGTCTTTATTTGCTTAAAATCGGTCTTTGCAAATTTGATTTTGGAAAAAGCCGTCTTTATCTTGAATTCAGAGTGACCGCGTCGCGACGGTTTAAATATGCCGTTGAAAATACCACTAAGTGTGCGAAATATACCAAATAGTGCATAAGATAAAACTATCGATAGCGCGGAAATCGGCCTCTACAATCTGGCAACTCATACGACAATTTGTAGCTATTTTACCATTAGAGCCAACGTTTTTCTACTTAATGGAAACTCAGGTGACATTTCTAGAATTTTGACAATATTTTTCAAAATATAATATTCTTGCATTAAGGAGTTCCACCTTAAATCCAAAATTTGGAATCTAATGTAGGTTTTTAGTTAAAAATAATACACAGGTCTTTAAATTTTACAATATTTACTTGAAACTTATCTCGTATTTTCATTTTTTCTAAAAAAAAATAGGTTTACTTGATTTCCACGTCCTCCGATACCGCCTTGCGCGACTTGAAAACGCGCACCGAGTTGTCGGCGCCGCCAGAGATGATGTACTTCGGGTTGGACCAGTCAATGTCAAGGACCTTTTCGCCATGGCCCAGCAAATCGTAGAGCGGAGCCTTGGGACTTCTGCAATCCCACAGCTTATTCTGGTTGTCGTAGGCGCCAGAGACAAAGAGGAACTCCTCCGTGGTGGACCACATGACGGTCTGCACCCAGGCATTGTGTCCGAGGTAAGTGTTGCGTACCACAGATCCCTCTGAAAAGGCAAATCAAAATCATTTTACTTCGACTTCATGGATAAGAATGCAGAAAGCTGATCCTACGGTTCGTTCTGGCATCGTAGAGCCTCAGATTCTTGTCCGCGGAGGCCGTCAATATCAGGCGATTCAGCTTGGAGTAGCTGGCATCGAAGATGGACTTGTTGGTGGATATCTCGGTCTTGATGCCCTCGAGGCTCAGGTCCCAGACCTTCAGTGTGTGATCCCAGCTACCGGTGAGCAGCGTAGAGGCATCCATCCACTGGACGGCTGAGATGCTCTCTCGATGTCCCTGCAGAGTCATTTTTGGCGTCTGTAAAGGATATAAAGTTTAGCAAGAACATCAAGATAGAAAATCCCATTCAATACGCACCCTCACACCGCTCTCCTTCATCCGCTTGGACGTGCCCTCGGCGGAGTCTTCCAGCTCGGCGGACCACACCTTAAGCATGGTGTCCCAGGAGCCTGTGGCGAATCGCTGGCCATCAGGACTCACGCTCACACTGTCGACGCCACGCTCGTGACCCTTGCATACGGACACGCACTCGACCGAATTGGCGGCCACGTTCCATTGCCACAGCATGGCCGTCTGATCCTGAGAGGTGGACACAAAGCGACCGTTCTCCTCGTCCAGCGATATCCAGTCCACTGCCTTAATGGGCGCCGTGTGGCCGGGAATGGTGAGGATGTGCTTTCCCTTGTTGGTCCAGATATTCAGTGTGTTATCGTAGCATCCGCTGAGGATCCACTTGCCGCTAGCCTTCACAGCCGACACCCAGTCGTCGTGGAGCAGGCAATCCTGTGGCTCTGGCGCCGGAAAACGCTCCACATACTCGATCTCAATGGCATCCTCGAAGCTGATGGCCTTCTCCCGCAAGTGATCGCATAGCCGGCCGCGCAGGTACTCGTCGAAAACCAAGAAGTCGAAGTCCACGACGACGCCATCCTTTTGCTGAAGCAACGCGTTGACAAATGTGTTTAGTTCAACGGTGGCAACGGTTCCATCGATGGCGTACGGCACATCCGGTACCGCATAACTGGAGAGATACTAATGTAGTGACAGTTTCATTCACATATCTGATGGATACCTACTGTTCCTGTTTGGTTTTGAGGTGCACCTGCACCTGCCCCTCGCCGTTTTCCACATCCATCGCCGGGCCCACGTGCGTTTTCCCTAAGCGGCGCTTGTTTTACCCGCAGATCAGCGCTTGAGCCGCAACTGGTACTGCCTCTTGTGCCGTCAGTTCTAAGGATTCCTGAGTGGTTAAACCACGTAGTAACACAGCTTATTTGTAGTTTTTATAAAGTTTACAAAAAGCGTGTGTTTTTAAAAGAGCGAATTAGAGATGCAATAACGTCGATGGTCTCAAGAGATTTTTGGAGTTGCCATGCTTTGATAAAGTGGCCACAACTTGTCTAGTATTATCGATACAATCGATATTTAAAAAATACTATTAAGTATTTCATTACAGCTGGTCACACATAAATGCCACTTCAAAATAGGCAGTTAAATTAAAAAACGCAGTCATCTTCCAAAGTAACCGATTTTGACAATCTTGTATTTGATGTATAATATGTATTATATAAACTTTATTTCTTGCTGAATGTATCTTACATTTAAATTAATCAAGTAATAATACACTTATTTTGAACTATATAAAGAGCTATTATAAAACTTATTAAGTCCTTGCAGGGTATTATAATTTTAGTCAGAAGCTGGTTACGGTGTGAAGGAGTCATTTCCGACCTCATAAATCATATATATTCTTGATCAGCATCAAAAGCCGAGTCGATTTAGCTATGTTCGACGAAATTTTTTTTTTTTTTTTAAATTTCGAAAATTTTGTTAAAATCGTAAAAAGTTGATTGCATTTTTAATTTTTAAACATTTTTTATTGAGTATGCAGATTTGTTAACCTAATAAAAACTTACATAGAAAAGCTTTCCGATTGGAAATTAATGCTTTTTTGGCTTAGTTATGAGATATTACAATTTTAAAATGTCATAAAAATTTTCAAATAAAAATATCAATAAATATCGATTCAAAGAACGCAAATATTTGTTACTAAGTTATAATTAATTTCCGATTTAATTATATAATTCAGTATAAATAAACTTGCGTTGTCAGAACGTAGTTTCCATTCTTGTTTAGGTTTCAAATTGCCTCAAAATAAAGCTGAACATTTGATCCAAACAATAAAACTGTTCCATTCTGCTGCAACATTAATATAATAGCTAAAACTTATAATAATTAAAAAAACATATGAGCTAAATGTTGCATATTTGATAATTAAAGATTTTTGCAAGCCAACCAGGCGCCGATGGCGATGCCGATGATTTGCTGTAATTTGGTTTCTCGCTCTCGGACTTCCCTCCCGTTTGCTCGTCTTACGCAAAAACGGAAAAATAAAAAACGACCAGCCGTGGCAGCAATTTGTAAATGACTCTTCAAAGACTGGTAATTGTTAATCTGTTATGTTTCTTCTTTTTTGATTTTGGCTATTAATACGTACCAGATGGCACCTGAAAGACCACTTTTGTGGCTAACTGCGCACTGGAAGGTTAAATGCCACTTGACATTTCCGAAGTGGCGCTTAACCTTCGCATTAAAATTGGACAAATGCCCAAGAAATGAATTTCCAATACAAAAAAAAAGAGTAGTTACCTTTATGGGTCGCTGGGATATTAAGCTGGAAGTAATATCGCTGTAAATGTTTTTTTTTTGTGTTTTTTGCTGAATAAAAACCAGAAACGAGGCGAAATGGAATATGAAAGAGCTAAAGAGCTGAGGCTGAAGCTTTCCAGATTTTCGGGGCTTCCAGCGACAGAGCTACGGCGCAGCGCAGCCCCGAGCTGTCAGCTTATAAAAAAGGCACGGCGCCTGCGCAGCCGAAACATTACAACAAACGCCGCGCGCAAGGTAAGACAGGCTCGATTCGATAGCTCGATAACTCCTAAAGCTGTCTCCTTCGAAAGCAGAGATCATCTCCGTATAAAAAAAAACCCGCTAAACTAATTAAGATGAAAGTGTTCGCGCTGTGCTCTATGCTCGCCCTCCTGCTGGCCGGTGCCCAGTCCCTGCCCAGGGTCGTGAAGGTGCCGCCTACACAAATGAGGCTATCCGGCAGGCGCAGCAGACGCTGCTCATTCCCAAGGATGCCCAGATCCAGAATGTCCAGGAGGGCATCGAGCTGGGTGCATACGAGCAGATACCCGGCAACCAGCGCATCAATCTCTTCGAGATCCTGGGCGATCAGGTGCCCTCCGAGGTGATAAACAACCTGCAGTCCCAGGTCGATCAGATCGGTCGCAACTGAGGTCATAGGTTAAACTCAATGCATTCTTCATTGCACACACACCACACACTCATTGTTAAGTTTCTCGGTAATAAATGTAAAGAAAAAAGAAATATCACTATCCATATTTAATCGAAGCGTTTCTGTATTTTCGAAAGCGAAAGTGATCCTCCCCGAGAAACCAGTTGGTTCCTCTGCAAACTCTCCTCGATCGGATTGGATCGCAGTGATTTATTTCGCTTTTTTATTTTGTGGCCTTTTCCTAATGCTCTTTGCCAGACTTTCTCCTCGATGCTGCTGCTGTGCGCATACTGATTAAGCATAAAATCGTTGCTAGGTTGGTTTGTTGTATCCTCAACCTTGTTATGTAAGCGACTGGACAGTGCACACTGAGCGCACTGCGGTTCATTGCGATGTAACCCGAGTCACTTAGCCCCCGGCAGCTCTTGGCCCAGGTCGTGATGCAACAATTGTCGTCGTTGAAGCCGTCGATTGTTGGTTGCTTCGTTCGGTTTGTTTATTTAATTTCTTGGTAATTGCCGCCTCATGCACTCGCATGTGTAATGAGGGATACGATCCGGGGGCAGAGGCGTGGCAGATGCTGGTTGCGCAACCAGCGGTTAGGACCGGTGTCCATAGGGCTTGATTACCTGGATTTTTACACGTATTTAGACTCCCTTAAATATAATGAAATATCTCTTAAAAACTCACACACAACTTTTGCTCTAGAATTACCTCATTTTTATTTCATAGTTCATACATTTTAAAATGAGCTTGATACTAAATTAACTCTAGTTAAAGTATTTCCATAATGTAAGTTTAGTTTGTTTCGCAAAAAATCGATGTGTGTTTCGAGAGAGTGTGTGCATGATCATCGCCTAAATAAATTATGTTCATAATAGTATTTATTTATTAACTAAAGAATGACTGCTTTTCACTTTTGACACTTTGCTTTTGAAATCCTTCCCTCATTCAATGTCAAGTTTAAATTAGTTAAATTTTATATAAATTACGTTTTTAAATGTAGAAGTAATTGTAATTAGCTTTAAATTAAAACTTTGTCATATTCAGTCTAAACTTCAAAGCTTTTCAAATCAAAGAGGACTAAATAGTAGTTTGCATTTGCATTTTTAAAAATAAATCACCGCCAGAGCGAATAGTTAATGCTTTTCAAATCATCGATCGTAAGAAATAAATTACAAATTAAATAAAATCATGATGAGATAAAACAACACAAAAATTTCTCTTCTTACTCGATGAATTTCGATTGTGGATTTGGATGAATGTCTTGTTGGATGTGCACTTAGATCGATGTATATATAAATATATAGAAATATATAACTAGGCAATAGGGATTGCCGGAAAATGAAACATTTCGTTATTGCATTTGGGGGGCCCAGCTATGATTATGTTCGTAGGTCGATAAATTCAGATGGTCTTCTATGCAGTCTATGGAAATGATCATCTTCAAAGGATGCTCCTCCTCTCCCCCTTTCTGGCTACTTAACCTAACTCTGTCGCTCGCTTGAATGGTTGGATTTGATTTTTGTTGCGTTTCCAAGTTACTAGGCTTTGCGGCAGGGCTGCTCCCACAGAGCACTCGGTGACCTCCAGACTGTGAGTCCTCGGTGGCTCTATGTGGGCAGCTCTGCTTTATGGTGTATTTATATACAATAAAGGCTTGATCTTCTCCTGCGGCGACTCCTGCTCAATATATCCGCTGGAGATAGAGACGTCCCAGTGGCAAAGCCCTTTCCACGAAACTCTTTTCGGCCCTCGCCGAGGACTTGTCCACCGAACTGGTCCTGGCCACCGACTCTGGACTCTCGTCCAGCTTCAAGCTCTCGGCATCGGCTTTGGGATCCACACCGCCCACCTGACCCGCTCCCGAACCCAGCTCATCAATATCCAGGGCGGAAACCGGCATGGTCTTGGGCGTAACAGGTTCACGGTCTCGAATCTCGCCACTGCCCAGATCCACCTCTTCGTCTGTTTCATTCCTGGCAATCTTCTCCAGCTGCTGCAGATCACTGCCGTTCTGGATGCGTGTCTCGCCGGATATATCCTCGCCACTGTACATCAGTAGCGGCACCAGGACGCTCTTCTCCCGCACGGATGAGGCGGCCACCATCATGTTATCCGTGGTAGAGGATTTCTCCTGGTAGAGATCAAAGTCTCCGCCACCGCTACCGCCGCCACTGCCACTCCCATCCAGAGTTGTGTCGGGCGTGAGTTTTACATGGTTGGCATCCATCTCAAAGGGACTGGTTATGCTCCTGGGCTCATCATTCTCGGGCTCGGCAATATCTTCCAGTTCAACCAAGGGAAAGTTGACATCGCGCAGACTAAAGTCATCACCGGGCAGCGAGGGATACGCGGGATTTGACTCCACCTGGGGTACATCATCCTCCACATCCATGTGATGGGTGGAGCTCAGTGGCGGCATCTCACTGCTCACAGCTGCCGGAGCCTCTGTGCTGATCTCGGTCTCTGTTTTGTTAATGTTGCCAGCGGATGATGAAACCTCCTCCTGGCTGGCTCTTGGCGGTGCATCTGTGGTCATCTTATTGGAGCCGGTTCCAGGTCCCTCTGTGGTCGAGATGATGTGATAGATGTTGTCGCTTCCAGCCGTATCTGGTTCCAGTTCCCCATCCGAAGACTCAACTAGGGAATCCCTGAATCCATTTTGGATAAACAGACCGGCATTCAGAGGCACTGCCTCCTCATAGTTCCTGGTGCTCGATACCGAACCCATTCCTGGTCCCTCTGTGGTGTACTCCCGCTTGATGTTCACCTTGCTGGGATCGCTCTCCGCCAGCGTCTGCAGTCCCTCGGCATTGTAGGTGACCAGTGGCTTCACCTGTTGCTCCACAATGTTGCTGCTGCTCGTGGCCAGCGGTCGTTCGATGTAGCCCACGGAGGCGATAAGCTTTAAGCTCTCACTGCTGCCAGAGCCACCTGGAAGTGCTTTGGGGTTGCTGTCTTGGCTGCTCAGCGTTGGTGTTGCTCCAGTGACCGTTGGAGTTGGAGTTTCCGCTGCTGCAGGTGGCACCGGTGACATGGCTGCTGCGGAAGTTGTACTAACAGCCGGCGGAGTACTCATGGCAGCCGAGGGAGTTGTTGCCGTGGCAGTGGTACTCTCCAAAGATCCCATTGTTGTGGTTGATCCAGGTCCATCGGTTGCTGCCAGCACCTTCCGTGTGGGTATCATCGATGGCTTGGCCTTGTTGTCATCGGTTATCCGGATCTCTGTCGGCTTGGTTATCTCCTTGATGGTGATGTTCCAGTTGAAGCCCGCGGGCTGAGCCTGGGGAGCTGGCCTTTGGGTTGTAGAGGTGCTGCTGCTCATGACTTCGCCTACTAGAGGATTATTGTCCAGAACTGGTAAGAGAAGTTAAGATTAAAGAAAAAAACTAAAGGTCATTTGGTGGCGGAACTCACTGGGACAATTGTCGTACTCCGGACAGCAGCGCCCGGGCACATATTTGGGCATGCAGTCGTCACGCCGGAAACAGGTCACCGAGCTGCAAACAATATCGCCGCCTGCAAAAATAAATTGAGTGTGTTTTTTTTGGTATAAAAGTGTTGGACCAGCAGTGTGGAAAATCAAGGCAAATAGTTGGGAAACAGGTGCAAAAATAATACTTTAATTAAAAACAAAAATTGGTTTAAATGTTTACATAGATTTTTAAGCAAATATATGAACAGTTTAAGGGGGAAAAAATTAAACTACAGAGAGTATAAACTCCACATTTAACCTTAATTACTTAGAAATCTTACAATATCTATTGAAAACCATAAATAATAAACAAATAGCTTCCATAAACTCTAAAATCCCAATTAAACCATGTCATAGTGTATCCTCCTAATTAACCCGATGTCTAATTTTCCTACTCACCTTTGCAGTAGCACACGGTGCACGGCGTGTCCGGATCAACCAATTTATAACCATTGGCATAAGTTTTGCCATCCTTTTCGCAATCTGCGGGCCAGGAAGAGGTCAGAGAGACAGAGTGAGTGAGCATGGAGAAGGGGATTTGCATAAATGCATCCAAACCGGAGGTATCCTGGTCGGGTGTGGGCACTTACCGCATTTATAATCGGGACAGCAGTGTCCTGTGCGCTGGATGGCCCGGCAGTTGGCCTTCTTCTCGCACCGCCTGGCGGAGTCCGCCACCCAGGCTCCATCGTGCAGGCACTGGCCTATAAACAATTCGTGGAGGGACAGAGGGTAAGAGTGGGTTTAGTTTAGTTTCGGGAGAAGAAGCACCACGCGGAGGATTAGTTTTCGGGGGCTCTTACCCTGAGGCTGCTGCTGTTCGGCCAGCGATTCCGTGGTGCTGCTTCCGGAGCCGCTGAAGCTGGAGCTTGGCGTGACCGCGACCGTGACGATTGTGGAGGAGGCACTGCTGTTACTCTCAATGGCGGGAACTGTAGAAAAAAAGAAGAAAAAACGGAAGCAAAGCCGAGTGTGAAATAGGAGAGGGCAGAAAGTCAACAAAAGGCCATTGAGAAGAATGCGGCACTGGCAGAAAATTATAGGTAAGTTTTACTTATAATTAAGGATAGAAAAATGAAAGAAATATAAAAGTTTAAAATAATATTTAATGAAAGAGAATGCATCTAAGATAATTTAACATAAGATTTTCCTTCATTATACACATCTCTCTGTTAATATTTTCCTATTAAACTTCTCCTAAACTTCACTTAAGAAATTAATGATTAAATTTACACCAGAGTTTCTCCATAAAATCTTTATAAATTAGGTCCTTGAATTAGATTATCACTACTGGTTTTAAGGAATGTGACCAGGAGGGATATATGTATAAATATTCCCCAACTAAAAGCTGTGACTGTGTGTTTCTTTAATGAAAAGGAAATGCAAATTGCCCAGCTCCAGCTTTAATTTACACTTGTAATTGGATTATTTTTGTTTTTCTTCTTTTTTTTTATTTTCCAGAGTGTAAAAGGGACAGCGGCAAATGTCCTTTGGCCTCCTGGCTCCCTGTCAGTCGGTACATATTTGAATGAATGACATTTTGATAACAGTTGTTTGTTGTTCCTGTTGCTCCTGCTCCTGCTGGTGGTGCTGCTTCCAACTGGGCAAGGTAAAATGCTATCAAAATACGGCAAAGTTAAATGAGTTTAGTTTTAGTTTGGCTTTTTTGTTTGCCCAGTTTGAGGCGACTCCCAATTGGGACGAAAACCAGCGGCAAAGCCGAAACCGAAACCGAAAACTGACAAAAGAGGAGCACAAGATGGAGTGGCATTCGCTTTGTCTACGCTCCTTGATTGTCCAGTTTGGCGAATAATTCCGATTGACAAGAGCCTTGTCTGAGCCGAAAAAACATTTTCCATTTCCCATACCCCATACCCCCCTCTTCCAGGAAAATTGTCTTACTTAAAGACTTCTGTTTGTGAGAGAGCCTTGTTGTCACTTGGCTATGAAAAATGATTAAATATGTGCGAGCATTAATCATGCGCCCCGTGCTCCGGTTTTATTGTGGGTGAGCTCCTGCTGGCCATCCTTTATTTCGAGTCCCCTCATAAACTGGAGCTATGTTTACACACACTCCACACACACTCCCACACACACATCCCTCACTAAATTGTTTTCCTAGCACTCATTAAGGAAACTGCATATGCTGCTCACTTTAGTGTTTTGTTGTTTGGTTTTATTTTGGCATTCGAGTTGGGGGAATGAACTCAACAGAGTCGATTTAGTTTAAAATTAAGTTTATTTTTATAGGGGAAAATTTGGTAAAAGTTATTCGGATTTAGGTAAGTATTTAAGGTATTTAATTTAAACTTATTTTCGTTATATTTAACTTTTACCAAAAGGTTGGGTTTTCTAATTTCAGTTTGATTGAATTGTTGGGATAAAAATAGTTGTGTGTTAACTAAGTTTTCTTGATGATTGCTGTATAAAATATATATTTTTTATATAATTAAAATCTGTTCCTTATACCTTTAAGAAAATCTCTTATGTCCAAAGCATTTAAAATGGGGAATATTAAATAATTTAGTGCTTTAAAATATTTGCCGCAAACTAGTTATATCAAAGATGGCATTGATTCTATATTTATGACTTATTTAAAACTTAAAATTGCATCGCAAATAAAATTTTAAAATTTTTTAACTCGTTCAGATATTATAATTTCAGTCAGAAGACTGTAATGATGTGAAGGAGTCATTTCCGACCTTATAAACTATATATATTCTTGATCTGCATCAACAACCGAGTCAAACTAGCTATATCCGGAAAACAAAATTTTTGAAATTTTTTTCATAAAAAATTTAAAAAATCAACCAAAATTTAGATTTTTTTACTTTTCAAATTGAGTATGCAGTTTTATTGTCATAATAAAAACTAGCATAGGAAAGGTTTCCGAATTCAAATTAATGGATTTTTGCCTGAGTTATGAGTTTCTTAAAATTTGATTTATGGACAAAATTGTCATATAAAAAAAGATAAATATTGACTCAACGTTTAGTCGGAAGCTTGTAAAACTGTGAAGGAGCCATTTCCGACCCCATAAATCATATATATTCTTGATCAGCATCAATAGCTGAATCGATCTAACTATGTTCAGAGGAAAAAAATTTTTTTGAAAATGTTGTCCATTTTTGCAAAGAAAGATAATGGGTTACATCATTAAAATTGTCAAAAATCGACAAAAAATTATTTTTTAAATTGAGTATGCAGTTTTGTTGTCCTAATAAAAACTAACATTGGAAAGGTTTCCGAATTGAAATTAATGCATTTTTGGCTTAGTTATGCTCAAGTGTATATTGAAACCCACGATCCTATGACTAAAAGCAAGAGTAACTAACTTCCGCCTCCCTTTATTTCTTATTTTGTATAAAAACTTAATCTATTTATAATTACATTCTTTTTCTACCATCTCCATTAAGCTTAGAATTTTTCAGTTATTGTTTTGAGTTTCTTTTGCCGCTTTCCTTTCAGCAAAAAATAAGCTGAAATCATGTTTAACCGTCTTCTATGACTCTCATTTTTAGACTTTATAAAGCGTTTTTTATGTGGATTTTTTTTGTTTTCTTTTTGTTTGTGGCTCGTTATGCAATACAGACAGTGAGTGCCACACACATGTCTGAAATCCGAAACGCTGCAATTAGTAGAACAGCTTCCCGTTTTGCGCTCTGTTTTCATTGTGGAACGCAGCGCTAATTCTACGACTTGCCATTGTCTCTGGGGGCCTCACTTATTCTGTTTCTCTTACTATATTTTTTTGTCTGTTTTGCCTAATTTTTGGCTAGCCAACACGTTTCAAATGAGCAGAATTATTATGCACATTATGTGGAGCAAGCTGACATTTGTCTGCGACTCGACTCGCGGCTCAGATTACGTATACGCCACCGCGAGATTTCGTCGTGATGCTGAAAGTTCTGTAATCATTGACAATAAATTGTCCCCTGCGGAATTGCATTGTAAATTCGCTTTTGATTGTTTTCCAGAGAAAAGCAAACACAGCACAGAGAAGTTATTATGTAAATGTGAGGTAAACGGTTGCCGCCGCTGGCTGTTGTCTGATTCATGCCCATAAATTGCATTGATTCTAAATTAATGTTGGTTTATTTTTGTCGTGATAAATGATAAGCACAACTTCGAGGCAATTGTAATAAACAAACGAAAAGAAATGACTTTCAGGGAGAGGAGTCACTTTGGACTGGGATCTTATCAGGGAGGAAGCCATTAAGATCATCGTTGGCTTTGGTGCAAATTTTTGACAGCCGCCGCCCTTGTGAGCCCTACTATTAATAACACTTAACACCCATTGATAAATACGATGCCCAAGGCCGCAAAACCCAACAGCAACAACAAATCATCCCGAAATCATCGCGGAAATTGTGGAAAATTGTCTCGCTCCGGCCCAAAGCCCACACACTTCATAAACTGAACTACTCAACTTTAGACGGAGAGAGAGAATGTTTTCCATCATTATTACATTTTCACCAAGTGGCTTTTCTCTCCCTTTCCCGGAATTTCCTTTAAGCGTTTAAATCCTTGCGGGGACTTGGGGCTCTTAAGCAGATTGCGGTTAGTTAGATAGAAAATGCGCTAGTTTGACATGACTTCTGCTCAGCCGAATGCAATAAAGAAATTCTTAGCCCATGAATCGTAAGTGTAATTGCTATTTTATCGGGGTAAAGTTGCCCAAGTCAGCGAACTGTGAAATTATAGCTCATCCCGAAAGGGATAACATTAACAGGAAGAGTTAAATAAGTCACTTTATGACAGCATGACTATATAAACTTTAAGTCATATTAATAAAGCCTAAGAAAAGTGTTTTGAATGGAAAGTTTAGGAAAATAAAGGCTGCGGGTTCTTAACTAAATTTGCATACAAATTGCAATGTAAGAATTTGGATTTATATATCGAAATTTTAAATATTAAATTCAGTATCAAATACAGCAACCACCCTTGCTAGATTTTAGGTATTCTTATAATTATAATAAAAATATAAGCATCTTGTCAATATATAATAAACATCTCCAACCATTAATCAGGCAAACAATATGACTATGAATTCGCATAAATTATGAGTTGGTAAATCATTATTATAAGATATAATATTATATTATTTATTATACTAATATATAATATTATATTATTTATTTTACTAGCTGGCAATCCGATCGTCTCCGCTTGCATGTCACAAAAAGTAAACTCCAAATTGGTAACAAGAATATGCCGTCATGCTTATAGACAGCATTATATATATATAGATATATACTACCGAATCCCCATCCATGATAATTCCATTGTTTCCATGGGGAATTTCAGCGGAAACCGAGAAACCAGCAGCGCGTAAGTCAGGCAGTTGTGAATGCGATTTCAAATCGACGCTTAAATGCCATTCAAAACAAAAGCAAAAACAATAATAAAAACAATCAAAATAAGGCAGAGGGGTAGGCCAGGGGGGGCTGACAAGCGGACAAATGACAACAAATGAGCTTTTCAAGTGTTCTGCCCTCGGTTCTGGCCATGTTCTCCCGCTTCTGGACAAAGATGATAAATGAGGCGACGCCCAGAGAGAGAGGCCTTTGTCTCAAAACAACAAACTCATCGCGAAAAAAAAGGAAGGTAAATATCTGAGACAACAAATTATATGGTTAAATGGCAGGTGATATGCACAAAGCCAGGAGGTGAAACCAATCAAAAGTTTAACAATTTAATCCGCATGCAGAGGAACAACATATGGCTTAAAGGGAAATAATGAATATATTGAATATATTATGCATTCCAGCCAATTTGGTTAAGTTTAACTTTGCTTCTATGGGGAAACTTAAGTTCAAAGCTGGCAAAACTTTGTTATGACCTCAAAAACCAATCTAAAGTGCTGAGAATAATTATAAGTTGCATAATCGAAAACAATAAGTACTTGAAGCAATAAAAATCAAAGGAAAAG